ATGAACTGCAAGGTCATTTAGAGACAGGGCAAAGTCAGTCATTTAGACATTGTGGATCCCAATGGCTTAGTAGAGAAAGCTGGGAGAGGGGCAGGACTTTGTGGAGCGATGCACAAAAGAAGCATGGGCACAAGAGACCACACAGAGAATGAGAGCAAGAGCAACTGCCTCCATCCTGACCCGCCATCTTGAGGCCTGTCTGTGTCTCATGAGGTCCTTTGATAGCCCCTCTTAACTTGGGGCTGCAACAGTGGGTGTTTCTGTTCCTTAGAGCCAATGCCGTCTGCAGCCTCCTAGTTCTTGGTGACTGGCTGCAGCTTCTCTGCTTTGTCCCCAGCGCTTAGCCTTCCCGTTCCACTCTGTCCTTCATCACTCTGCTGACTCGAGTCACGGTATTGCTGGTCTTTCTCATATATCACACATACTTGTCCCGGCTCCAACAATCACATCCTGTGATTCCTCCCTCCCCAGTTTCTCTGACCGCTCATATACTGCCAGGGCCAGAGGCTTAGAACACAGAAATTAGAATAATTTGGCAGAGTATGGTGGCTCACGTTTGTAATCCCAGCACTTTGGGAGGCCAAGGCAGGTAGATCACAGGATCAGGAGCTCTAGACCAGCCTGGCCAACACAGTGAAACGCTGTCTTTACTAAAAATACAAAAATAAGCTGGATATGGTGGTGGGTGTCTGTAATCCCAGCTACTCGGGAGGCTGAGGTAAGAGAATAGCTTGAACCCAGGAGGCGGAGGTTGCAGTGAGCCGAGGTCACAACACTGCACTCCAGCCTGGGTGACAAAGCAAGACTCTGTCTCAAAAAAATAAATAAATAAATTGGTAGAATTTAATTCCAGTGAACTCATAAAATCCCTGAAGCTGAAAGCAGAGGGATTTTATTGCTTTGCTGCTTGAGAAAGGATAGAGGCGTTGAGGGAAGAGCGAACTAAGCCTACTAAAGACACTTACCTTTTTCCACATCTCATCCCTCTTGCTGTTGAAATCGCCTGTACCTGGGATGTCCACCAGCACGACCCCTTCTGGGATCAGGTCGGATTTGGGAAGAGTCACTTCCACATGTTTGATCAAGGGCCAGATGTGCATCTCAGCGGCCTCTCCATCCCAGTCTCTCCTCTGCATGCGGATGTAGGGGTCCAGCTTGATGGACAGCTCTTCTGCCTGAAGAAGAAGGACAGAGTCACACACACCAGCCATGCTCCTAGCTCTGTTCTCCCAGGTTGGCTGTGATGCAGGTTCATGGTAGGTATGCCGAGTAAGGGTAAGAAGTGTACCCAACAAGGGGCATCAGGAGGCCTGCAATCAGATCCGCAGGACCGAGAACCTGAGAGCTGGGAAGGACCCTGGAGATCAGGAAGTTCAAGCTCCTTACCTGACAGATGGAACAAAAACCAACGTTAGCTCAAATGGAACCTTAGGGAAGTTATAACATTGCTGGATAATAAGCTTATCTTCTCAACTACACTGCGTTCTAAAATTAACGTTAGTAATATGTAATTGATATTTGCACTACCAGAAATCTAGCAATGACTATAGAAAATTGACAGTGATATAGTAATCATATTTTCCAAATTGAAAATTGATCTAAAATTGGATCTTTAAAAGAGTTTTTAAAATTCATCTTCCGATTACAAAAAATACCTTGAGAGGTAGGCATTTCTAGGATAGTTTAATGATGGTGAATGAGAGAGGGAATAGTTCTTAGACTGCGGTTTCTGCTTAAACATGTCTTGGGACAATGACACATCCATGCCAGCAACTACGAGAGTGAATCTCAACTGGGGCACTTCAGTGTATGGTAGTCATTGTTAAATCAATTTCTATAGAATAGTGCTGTAAGAAAGGTAAGAATGTCATTTATATATATATATACGTGCGTGTGTGTATATGTGTATATATATATAGAGAGAGAGAGAGAGAGAAAGAGAGAGAGAGAGAGTGTTTCACTCTTGCTGCCCAGGCTAGAGTGCAATGGTGCAATCCTGGGTCAGCACAACTTCTGCCCCCCAGGTTCAAGTGATTCTCCTGCCTCAGCCTCCTGAGTAGCTGGGATTACAGGCACATGCTACCATGCCCAGCTAATTTTGTATTTTTAGTAGAGATGGGGTTTCTCCATGTTGCTCAGGCTGGTCTCAAACTCCCGACCTCAGGTGATCCACATGCCTCGGCCTCCCAAAGTTCTGGGATTACAGGCATGAGCCACTGCACCCAGCCTAGAATGTCAATTCTTAAGAGAGTTTAAATTAAATCGCTGGATTTGTTACAATCTGAGTAACGGGTAACAGATTTCATCAATATCAACCAAATGATAAACCACAAAAAAGGAAATAAAAGCTCTTTAAGGTATTGTCATTTTAAAATAGAGCAGATATCATAAGAGAGAAGCCCAGGAAAAGGCATGGGCTTGAAAAGCCCCTTTCTACAAGAGGGCTCGGCCCCATGAACTGGTTCTGGGCAAACATCATTAGAGAAGGCAAACTCAGATTCTAGAATCTCCAGTGGAAACCCTGAATTTGTAAGCTCACTCATTGAGATAGTGATTCTGCTGACCTTGTTTCAGTGGGTAAATTTATGATGCTGGGAAGGAGTATTTCCAAACACAGAGTTGGCAAAGACATTGATACCCTTGTGTAAGTTGTGTGTATTCAGATAAAGTAACTAGTCTTGTAATCATTGTGTTTCTTACATATGCTCAGTCTATCTTTTAGATATTAGAAGTGTAATCATTTTAATAGTAATATTCATCTTAAAACTATAAGAAATGGGCACTATATTTGTTAGATTTTCCAGATATATAAGAGATGGCAAAGTGCTTTGAAAAGGTTTCATTCATTTGATTTCTAAGTGTGCCTAATCAAGTATTTAAAACATTTTGAGAGGCTCAAATATATTGAACTTTAACTGTAATGCAAAAAGCCTAAAGAAGTGTGATTGATTATGTAAGTAGCATTAAATCGTTAAGGGAGATTTGCTTTGTTAATCAAGAGATAATTGAACATTAAACTTTAGGACACGTACATTGTACCCGTTTTACTAATAACCACTAGATTTACAAATAGAATAGCAATATTTTAAAGGTGTATTTAAAGGTGAGAGATATAAGAAAAACTAGGTTTTTAAATGTATAGCTTTCCTAAATTGAATGTCAGTTCCGCGAATATTTTGTTTTAATTCAGAAATGAAATCTTAAAATGAAAACTGTTTATGAAAACAAGATTACTGTTCTACTAGTTGCCCGTCCAATCTCCATCCTGTCCCTCTTTTACGCCAGCGGAATCCTGATTTTCTGTCTGACTGGGAGGCTGTGCAGTGAGACGGGTCTAAGGCAATCATGACAAGTCTGCTTTTCACTTTCTCTGGACTCCCTTTCAGCCCGGAAGGACCATGTGGCTCAATTCAGAACTCTGAAATCTACATGGAAATTTGTCAGAGGTATTTCTGGGAAAGCTTTTATTTTCTGATGAAAGGGCAGATGTGGCTGATGCCAACTTTTTATCCACTTTTTCCTTCCAGTAGGCTAGTGTGAAGTCTAGCCCTCCGGGAGCCAACTCATGATAGCGGGGGTGGCGGAAGACCAGGGGAACCAGAGAGGCTGATCTTGACCTTGCTGGGCCACTAGACCAACCTGACCCCTACTGCCCCCAGACCTCTTACATGAGAAAAGGAATCAATCCCTGTTTGTTTAAGCCACTATAAACCTTCTTTAAAAATCACTGGCAGGCCAGAGTGTCCCTAATTATTCTCAAGTAACTGCAAATAGTCTTTTTTTGTACACAGTAACTCCTCCATTAACATACTAAAAACTCCCACTTGATAGCCATAAATAATAAGGATAACTTGGGCTATGGACACTTCTAATTTGGGTAGCAACTTATTTCTTATTTCATACAAACACTATACCGGGAGCCAGTCCCCTGAGCAGATTCAACTGTTAGACTTGAGACCCAGGATGACATCAAGGAAAGTACGAACGTGACGCTACCTCTTCCGCCTTGAGGGTGATGACTCTGCAGGTGGGGATCTTCCCTTTGGGCTTCGCCTTCAGTAACTCCTCATAGTTCTTACTTTCCGCCCCGTTTCCATAAATCATCTGTAGCTTCCAGGTGGCTTCCTCTGCTGCCTCATCCCTGTTCCATGCATCCGCCTCCTCTCCACCCAGCTCCTCCGTCCTGTGCAGGAGTTTAGTCAGGTTCTTCAGCTCCTCCCTCCACTCCTGCCAAGGCAGAGTAGGGCCAAGCCCCTCTTGACACAGATACAGAGAACACCGACAAACAGAGGGGTCCGTCGCTCCCTGTGGAAGACCGGGAGGCTGCATATTCAGAAAATCTAGGACATCTACTTCGGTTCTTGAAGAGGGAAATGGTTTGCCCAAAGTCTCATAACGATGTAGGACCAGGCCAGACCCCTCCAGCCCACTAGATTGACTTTCTCCTGGAATGGGCTCTTTTCATTCAACAAAGGCATGAGCTGTATTTGCAAGGAATATAATGTCTCTGAGAGACAGTGAGAAGGAAGGAAAGGAAGGGAAAAAGGAAGGGAAGGAAGAAGGAAAGGAGGGAGAGATGGAGGGAAGAGAAAGGATGAAGAGGAGGGGGGAGGGAGAGGAAGGGAGGGGAGGGGACGGAAGGGGAGGGAACACTTACCTGGTCAGAGAGAAGATGGATTTTGGCCTCATACTGTACACAGCAGCCGGAGCTCACTTGTACAACGCAGGAAGTACATATGCTTTCTCCAGACACTGGTAGAAACATTGCTTGCTGGATGATGGCATTGATCAGGGAGCTCTTCCCAGCCCCGGTGCTTCCAAACAACCCAATGTAGATTGGGTCCAATGTCGGCTTTTCAATCAAGGCAAGGAGCCTATTTCTGGATGAATTTTAAAATGTCATGATCATCAAAGTTTAGACTGAAGAGCATTGAAACAGAATGCAAAGGAACTGAATTCTAATCCTGGGCAGGTCACCACAAGCTCTCTCCTCTGTCAAAGGAGAATATCCATCCCTGTTTACTACACAGAGTTGCCTGGGAATCAAGTGAGATTATGCAAAAATATTTGGTAATAATAATTCCACACAATCCCTGTAACGTCTATATATGTGAGGTATCTTTATTTGTATTCACTGGAAACTGCATATTCCTTTTTTTTGTTTGTTTATGTGTCTGAGACAGGGTCTCACTTTGTCACCCAGGCTAGAGTGCAGTGGTGCAATCATGGCTCACTGCAGCCTCAACCTCCTGGGCTCAAGTGACCTTCTCGCCTCAGCCTCTGAAGTAGCTGGGACTACAGGCATGCTCCATGATGCCGGGCTAATTTTTTTGTATTTTGTGTAGAGACAGGGTTTTGCCATATTTGCCAAGTGGTCCACCCGCCTTGGCCTCTCAAAGTGCTGAGATCACAGGTGTCAGCCACTGCACCTGGACAGAAATGGCATATTCTTGACCCTAGAAATATCATGTGTACAGAGGTGAAGTATTAATAGTGTTAGAAGCAACACAGAGTCTTACTGAGCAGGAGAAATTGTACCCTCAGCACCACTCAAGTCCTTCATGTTGGCAGGGCACAAATAATTGGGAACATGAGCCCAGACTCACACAGCCTGGGGTGAATTCTGGACCCTCTCACTGACCACCCGTGTGACTTTGTTCAAGTCTGGGGCCCTCTGAGCCACAATTTCAGTAAAATGGAAGTGATCATATAGCTCCTACTTTACAGGAGTGTTGAATGGATTAAGTGATATTTGATATATAAAAACACTTGGCAGACTACCTAACAGTGACAGCTCAATGAATGGCAACTCTCCCATAGCTACAGAAATTTGTATCCTTCCTTGCTTAGTTTCTAATTAAATACTTCCTTTCCTTGTTGAGGGAAAGCACTTATAATCGCCTAAAGAAAGACATTGATGTAAGATTTCAGGGTTGTGGATTTCAGACTCACATGAGATACTTGACTCCATTAGGGACACTGTCATCCAGGAAGACCGACTGAATAAGTTTCTGGTAAGTGTTGCTCAAAACCCTTCTGGTCCGTGATTCCAGTTTTTCATCTAGAATTAACAGAGAGATGTCACCTGTGGGTAGCCAGCAGCGATAAAGTACTAGGTCTCCAAAGGAGGTGTCAGCTGAACATTGCAGAGAAGGAAAAGAAAAGAAATGAAAAGCCGATTAAACAACATGGCAAGTTATCTCACACTAAACTAGAGATGGTGGCTCACAGGAGACAGCGATCATTGGTTCTGAAAATCTCCAAAGAGCCAGGCTGCTCTGAAACTCTGGTAACAGAAGTTTTGATATGCTTTGCCGCGGGCTTCAGCCCCTTCTGGATTCTTCCTGCCTGTGGTCATAAAAAGAAAAAAATGCAACCAGGCGAGGTGGCTCACGCCTGTAATCCCAGCACTTTGGGAGGCCGAGGTGCACAGATCACGAGGAGATCGAGACCATCTTGGCCAACATGGTGAAACCCTGTCTCTACTAAAAATACAAAAATTGGCTGGGCGTGGTGGCGTGTAGTCCCAACTACTCGGGAGGCTGAGGCAGGAGAATCACTTGAACCCGGGAAGCAGAGGTTGCAGTGTGCTGAGATCGCACCACTGCACTCCAGCCTGGCGACAGAGTGAGACTCCATCTCAAAAAAAAAAGAAGTCCAAGGACACCATGTTGACACCCACTGAAGCGCCAACCTAATCATTTTCACAGGCTTTGTTCCAATCAGGAAGAAGTTATTTTGATAGCAACTCTCCTGCCCAGAGATGCGTGGAGATAAATTGTCTAATCGCATGCCGCTACAGAGACCCTGAGCCCTCTCTTTCCGAAACAGGTTCATTTGAAGATGTTTCATCCAGCTTCAGAATTTAACCTCCTCTTCCTTTGAGTATTTTAACATACTTGGAACAGAACAGAACCATGTTAAAACAAGTTTCAGGGCACTCACATTCCTTAAGGGAGCTCTGCTCCACGGAGGGAAACGCTCGGAACCGCTGGTCTCGATCTGATTTCCTTCTTTTTCTCGTTGGTTCTTCAAATAAATCATCTTCAACTAGAGATAAACAGAGGTTATATAAGATTGTAGGTGTTGGGGCATGGTGTTCTTGCCTCACTTCTATCAGCACACAATCCAAAGAGTCTAACAGACTGGCTGGGTGCAGTGGTTCATGCCTGTAATCAGAAGCGTGAGGGATTACATGCCTGGGAGGCCAAGGTGGGAGGATTGCTTAAGGTCAGGAGTTCAAGACATGCCTGGGCAACACAGCAAGATCCTTGTCTAAAAAAAAAGTTGGTTTTTTTTTTTGGTAGCAACAGGGGTCTTACTGTGTTGCCCAGTGGGCTGGAGTGCTGTGGCATGATCACGACTCACTGTAGCCTCAACCTCCCGGGCTCAAGTGATCCTCCCACCTCAGCCTCCAAAGTAGCTGGGACTACAGGCACACACCATCACACCTGGCAAATTTTTGTAGAGACAGTGCTTCACCATGTTGCCCAGGCTGGTCTCAAACTTACCAAAATTAAAAAAAAAAAATTTTTTTTAATTAGCCAGGTGTGGTGGTGCACACCTGCAGTCCTAGCTACTCAGGAGGCTGAGGCGGGAGGGTCGCTTGAGCCCAGAAGTTATAGGATGCATGCAGTGGGCTGTGACTTTGCCACTGCCCTCCAACCTGGGTGACAGCAAGACCCTGTCTCAAAAAAACAAAAAAACAAACAAAACAAAAAAACAGCAACAACAAAAAAGAGGAACTGCTTCCAGCTCTGTCAGCCCATAAACTCATTTGGGAAAAAACACTGTTGGATCATTCTAGCTTGGTTTCTACTTTTCAGAGTCACAAGACTGTCTGCATTTAGTTACAAAATGTAGAGTTCAATCTATCTCCCCAGATAAAAAGTTTCTATTTGCAACTCCTCAGAAGCCAAAGTGGCTGGATATTCTTCACCAAACGCCAAGTTTTAGGAAATCAACCGACTATGTAGAGAGAAGCTCAAGACAGGGTCAAGGGCGTAGTGAGCAAAGGCCTCTGGGAGGTCATTTTAGACTAGGAAAGAAATTGACCAGAAACAGAATGCACAGGAAAATAGGGGCCAAGTGACCAGGAAAAATCACTTCTTCCTTGAGCCTCAATTTCTTCATCTGTAAAATGAGAGAACTGACCAGAAAGAACATGTGCATTACAAGAGTTTGGATGGCTGCCATTCAGAAATCCTTCAAAATTTGGGGGAATTTTCTCCCTTCTTCACTTGAAGACATCAGCGGCTGCTTCCTTACATAAGTGAGAACAGAAATCACTTAGAAGCTGGTCCTTGAAGCTCTGCTGAGATTCATTCACTTAAGTGGTTTCCCTGGTTATGAAGTGAAGGGCTGATTGGGCCCACCAGCCTAAGGAAGGGATGTAACCCAAATGCTGTGTTTTAGATGGATTTTAGAAAACACCCCTTGGGGCTGGGCGCAGTGGCTCACACCTATAATCCCAGCACTTTGGGAGTCTGAGGTGGGCAGATCACGAGGTCAGGAGTTCAAGACCAGCCTGGCCAACATGGTGAAACCCCATCTCTACTAAAATACAAAAAATAGCTGCCTGTAATCCAAGCTATTGGGAAGCTGAGGCAGGAGAATTGCTCAAACCCAGAGGTAGAGGTTGCAGTGAGCCAAAATCGCACCACCGCACTCTAGCCTGGGCAATGGAGCGAGACTCCAACTCAAAAATAAAAAAAGAAAGAAAAAAAGAAAACACCCCTTGGTCGTGTTTACCTGGCTAGAAAGGGGCAAGTGGGTCTTTGAGGCGACGGTTGTTGAAACTTGTCCTAACTCTGTGCTCCTGGGGCTGGCCTGTACCTTACAAAATGACCATGAGGTGATCCGAAAGAGCTGATCCCCAAGAATCACGGGGACGCCATGAGGTTCCAAAACTCAGTGTGACATTCCAAGGTCATTCGCTGAATAACCACAGAGAAGGAATGTCACACATGCCCCAGGTTGGCAGCCCACACAGAAGGCCCAGTCTCTGCCTGGGGGCTCCAGACACAGATCTCCCAGACAGTCCAGACAGCCTTCCCTCTCTGTTCCACCTTACATCTTCAGCACAAATGGAAGCCAACGCACACCCCGAAGAATATTCCAGCATGAGCCATGCTAATTGCCAAGGCCTGAGTCTCTGCCAACTCATGCTCCACAGTCCTGCAGCAACTGAGAGCTGAGAGAGGTTCCACTTCGACTGACCCCTCTCTCTCAGACACTAACTGGTGATTGAGCTCCACTTGAAGAAATCGCCCTGGGTCAGTTTGAGGACTGCCTTAGAACCAAGTGGGTGCTGGCTCGAAGGCTGGAGCTGGAAAGGAAGAGGCAGAGAAAGAAGAGCCTGCTGGTCAGGACCTGAGGCCAGCTACCGGCTGAAGAACACTTTCGTCTGTGCTCCAAAAAGCCTCTCAGAACTCCGGGATGTGTCCACGGCCTGTCCGTGGAAAGGGTGTAAGGGACGTAGACTTTGTCACTCAGGAACTCTTTTGGGTAAACAGTGTTTGCCTAATCTCCTAGCCACGTGTATAAAACCAAGGCTAAGTCCACACATCCAGGGCCCTTATTTCAACATTGTAAGGACTGACAACGAATCTGATAAGAGATTGGAAGCTTATTTCTCAACTAAAGCAAAGGCTAGGAAGTCCAACACAGATGGGTTAAAAACTTTTTCTTCAATTTCTAAAACGCAAAACTATCCGGAAAAGAGAAAGTGTTCCATCTTGATTATACCACGTAAGGGTAGTATTTATATTACATTGTAACCAAAATAAACTAGCATGAACTTGGATCACAGATCTTATTATTCCTGTTCATCGCTCAAGCACCTCCTTGCCCTTTCCAGAATTCTTCACCGAACTGCCCTTTCCAGAATTCTTCACCGAACTGCCCTTTCCAGAATTCTTCACTGAATTGTCCTACACTCTCTGGGTGGATGACGGCAGTCCCCTAGCACACCGCTGCTGTTCCTTCTTGCCACCACAAGGTGTCACTTTTGAAAACTGATCCCCCAACAGCCTGAGCTGAGATGCAGTGTCATTGGTGACTTTTTTTCGTGGTGGTTTTTTTTTTTTTTTTTTTTTTTTGAGTCGGGGTCTCCACTGTTGCCCAGGCTGGAGTGCAGTGGCAGGATCACGGCTCGCTGCAGCCTCAACCTCCCTGGCTCAAGCAATCCTCTGACCTCAGCTCCCAAGTAGCGGGGACTACAGGCACTCACCACCACGCCTGGCTGTTTTTTTTAGAGCTGGAGTCTTGCTATGTTGCCCAGGCATGTCTTGAACTCCTGGGCTCAAGCGATCCTCCTGCCTTGGCTTCCCAGATTACTGAGATTACAGGCATGATTCAGACCATTGCCAGACACTGCCAGAAACCTTTCAAGAAAAACTAACCCATTCCTCAGGGTTAAGTTTAACTGAGGGGACCCTGAAGTGGTAGTTCTTTCTGGATGCCTGATCAGTCTTGCTTCAGACGCTAGCATCACCCCACAACCCAGAAACACTGCTTCACCTTGCCCCTAAGGGAATCTATCCCCTCGGAGTGAGGAAAAGCATCTTCTTCAGTCCTCAAAACACAAAGGATGTGATGCACCGCTGTTTTCTGCACCTGGGGGTTACATCCCTGTCATTGCCTATAGGGAAGCTCCCTCACTGGCTCCAGGGGCCCTGTACCAGCCTTCTGCGGGAGGGAAGCCACCCACAGTGGCTCCAGTGTGACTCACCCTTCCAGGAGCCACTCCAGGGTACCTATACCTCTCCTTCTAAGGAAATCCACCTAACATCATTCCAGGGGACTTATAAGAGAGGCTACCTTCAGAGAGTCCAAAATGACTTTCTGGAACATTATTATTATTATTTTTGAGATGGAGTCTCGCTCTGTGGCCCAGGCTGGAGTGCATTGGTGCAATCTCAGCTCACTGCAACCTCCACCTCCCGGGTTCAAGCAATTCTCCTGCCTCAGCCTCCCAAGTAGTCAGGACTACAGGTGTGCATCACCACACCCTGCTCATTTTTGTATTTTTTGGTGGAAATGAGGTTTCACTATGTTGGTCAGGCTGGTCACGAACTCCTGACCTCAGGTGATCCACCAGCCTCAGCCTCCCAAATTGTTGGAATTACACATGAGCCACTGTGCCCAGCCTGGAACGTTATTTTTTTTTAAGGAAGAAAGCCCCATTTATTTAACTGCTGGCCAAACAGTTCAGCTCATTATGAATAGGCTATTTCAGTTACTGTTGAAATAACTGGTCTTCGTTCACTATTTAAACTTGTCATAAGAAAGCACCTTCTGAATAAAGAGTAAGGAACTATGGCAACAGTTAAATATAGTCCCAACCCATTTGCCATTTATCCTGTAACAGTAATCAGTTCCTATGTCCTACATCAGGAGATGCTGCAGAGATGTTACCTGGATGTGGTTCCTGGTCGAAAACATCCTTTGTTTCTGCCATGCCTTGTTACGTGAACACCTGCTCTTCTCCCCTTAGGAGAACCAGCCTGTGAAGACAAAGTACAAAGACAGGTAGGACAGCGGAATTTGAAAATACAGAAGGTAAAACCTAAGGATGTGTAAATCTGCTTGTGCGGTGTTTCTGCCCCTTCCAACTTAGCTCTGAATCTCTCACAACACCTAATACACCGCTTAATGGAAATATGACAAAGATCAGTGTTTGAACACTGGTTTCCAGTAATACTTGTATCCGTAAGAGTCTAGGCTGGGCGCGGTGGCTCAGGCCTGTAATCCTAGCACTTTGGGAGGCCAAGGTGGTAGGATCACTTGAGGTCAGGAGTTCAAGACCAGACTGGCCAACACGGTAAAACCCCATCTCTACTAAAAGTACAAAAATTAGCAGGGTATGGTGGTGGGCACCAGATACTCAGGAGGCTGAGGCAGGAGAATCACTTGGATCTGGGGGGAGGAGTTTGCAGTGAGCCAGGATGGAATCACTGAACTCCAGCCTGGACAACAAAGCGAGACTCTGTCTTGAGTAAGAAAAAAAAAAGAGTCTAAACCAATATTACCTGAGAGCTTTAGGGTAACTCACGCTGAAATGAGAATAAGCCTCTGGTGACCAGAGCTGTGAAGGTGAATTTACATAGCTTCGCTGCTTTGGGTGGTGTCCGTGCTCCAGTGGGGCAAGCCTTGAGCCCTGTGCCAGTGATACTTAGTTCCAGTAAGTCTCAGCAGGAATCTGGGAGGTAGGGGGGAACATTTGATATTCCTAGAGTTCCCCAGAGTTGCTTTGCGGGGGCTGCTGACTGAGGAGGGAGATGCAGTGACTTGGTTCCCTGGACCTTCCTCATCGACCGCAACTTCCACTGGGAGGACATCGCGCCTGGGCTCTACATGCAGCTGGCGCACGGAGCGTCTGCAGGAGGGAGAGGAGAGCAGCGTCCAAAAGAAGAAGGGACAGGTCCAGTTGCTCTCCAGTCTACCGGCAGATAGGACTTGGACATGAAGGGAAAACTGGACCCATGGAGGCTCAGAACAGTGGGCACGGCGCAGACAGGGTGGAATCTGCTAGCCCGGAGCTGGTTCGTCTCCACCCATAGAGAAGAACTTGGGGAACATAGTGGGGAGCACCCAACGTGCTTACTGGCTGTTATCTGATGTTTCTGTTTGGATCACTCAGCTGTGTATTTCAAGAGCAGAGTCACCAGCCCTTCTGAAATATGCAAAATCCCTCCTGATCTGTCAACCCCCACGAGACCCACACGCAGTTATTTAGGGAGACTGGGCCTCATTTACACATTAACCCCAAATTAAAATCACCATTCATCAGTTACTCTTAGTTTGGTTTGCATATCGTAACTGACTAAACGGCTTGTGTATTGGTGGGTGTCGGGTGAATGTGGTGAGATCCCCTATTAAGCGCAGGGTTCCGAGGCTTAGGTGGAGCTCTTTCCCTCTCCCTTCCTCTGCTCTGCAGCCACTCTCAGACCATCCCACCTCCTTACAGTTCTCAAGAGCCAGGTATCCTATTGAACACCCGAGCCTTGTAGCACATGCAGGGTTCCCTTCCCTTCTTCTCCCAGGCGAATTCCTGCTCTTTCTTCAACATCCTGTTTTGGTGCTTCCTCTGGGAAATGATGTCCTCTTCTCAGTCGTTCTGCTCCTGTGTCCCGGCTGCCGCATACACACTGTGTTTATGTCTCTGTACACACTGTGCTATGTTTCTGTCTCTTCCTCCTGGTTCAACCACTTGAGGTTAGAGGACTGCATTTTTTTTTTTTTTTTTTTTTTTTTAGTGTTGCATTCCTATCGAGAAGGGCAATGACTGACTGTAATGGTCACTGAACAAATGGATCACATAACGGATGAGAAGCTTTTGATGAGATTTCACACTAAAGGATGTTTAAGAGCTAAATGTGTTGTTTCTGTCTGGTGGTTTGTTTGCTAAATGTGTTGTTTCTGTCACCCAGACTGGAGTGCAGTGGCATGATCTCAGTTTACTGCAACCTCCACCTCCTGGGTGGAAGCGATTCTCCTGCCTCAGCCTCCCGAGTAGCTGGGATTAGAGGCATGCAACATCACGCTTGGCTAATTTTTGTATTTTTAGTAGAGATGGGGTTTCACCACGTTAGCCAGGCTGGTCTTGAACTCCTGGACTCAAGTGATCCACCTGCCTCAGCCTCCCAAAGTGTTGGGATTATAAGCGTGAGCCACCGCACCTGGCCCTGAATTCCTTTTTGATATGTTAGAGTCCTGGCTTAAAGATTAAAGCAAAGAGTAGAAATAAATAGCAAAGTATGCAAATGAAGCAGCACTCCCAGCAAGGACTCTCCACAGGGATAAGGAATACTTGACATGGGGAAGGGAAGACACAGGTAGAGGCAGACGATGGGGAGGAGGCTTCAGGGTGGTCCTCAAATGCATTACCTTAGAGCTGCAAATAAAAGAGACATGCTGCATATTTTCTAGGGTTCCCAGAGGGTAGAACTGGATCCATTAGGTGGAGGGTAAAGAAAGCATTTTGGCTTAACATTCTCAAGTAATCAGAGTTGCCCAAAATGGAATGAGCTCCCTTAGGAAGCAGTGAGTTTTCTGCCTCCAGAGGTGTCTCCACCTGTATTAATATGACCACCTAATAATGACTCTGGGCTAGATAAACTTTAAGCCTTCTTCAAATCCCCAGATTCTATGTTCCTACTTGAAATTTTCACCAGGAAAGCTGGTAGTGGAAGTACTCTATGAAGTTACTAAATTTCACAGGAGGCACAAGCAATTTCTGGTTTGGAATACTGAGTTGGAAATGCTGACACACATCAAAACTTAGGTGAGTTATGAGAAAAAAAAGGCTAGATGGGCTGGGGCGGTGGATCACGCCTGTAATCCCAGCACTTTGGGAGGCTGAGGTGGGCGGATCACGAGGTCAGGGGTTTGAGACCAGCCTAGCCAACATGGTGAAACCCTGTCTCTACTAAAAATACAAAAAATTATCCAGACGTGGTGGCAGGCATTTATAGTCCCAGCTACTTGGGAGGCTAAGGCAGGAGAATGGCCTGAACCCAGGAGGCAAAGCTTGCAGTGAGCCGAGATAGCGCCACTGCACTCCAGCGTGGGCAACAGAGTGAGACTCTGTCACACACAAAAAAGGGTAGATAGGTATATAATAGGTAAATATACCATAATGTGTGTCAATAATTTTAGGTAGGGTGTGATGGCTCATATCTATAATCCCAGCACTTTGGGAGGCTGAGGCAGGAGGATTGATTGAGCCCAGGAGTTTGAGACCAGCCTAGGCAACCAAGTGAAACCCTGATACTACCAGAAAAAAAAAAAAAAATCAGCTGGGTGTGGTGACACACACCTGTAGTACTGGCTATTTGGGAGGCTGAGGTGGGAGAATCCCTTGAGCCCAGGAGTTCAAGGTTGCAGTGAGCTATGATTGCAACACTGCACTCCAGCCTGGGTGACAGCAGGACCCCGTATCAAAGAAAAAAAATTAGATACAGAACTAGGATTACCCCTAGGAAAAAGATCCGTCATTTTCTAAAGAGAGCAGCTCAAGGAGTGACTCACACAAAATGTTCCTCATCATATTGTCACAGTGAGCACTGGAAGCAAAAGAAAATGTATGTCCCAACCCATGGACAAATCCAGGGTCGACCTCCAACAGCTGGTGTGCTGGAATTCAAATTCTAGGAGGAAACAGTGGAGCCAGATAAAGTGCAAAAGAACTGATAGGCCAAGTTGATAAGAGTCACCGTCAGACAGACACTGAGATTAAGGCCTTCAATTGAGAGAGCTGTGGACTAATGGGCACAAAATCAAAGGGCTTTGAGTTTAGAGCAGAAGCAGCTGTAGTTACCGAATTCTGGAATATGGGTAGTGGTTTTGGCTTCTTTCAGAATCACAGGAACTTTAGTTCATTTGACTTTGTTTACCAAATCAACAGTACACAGTGTCCAGCAAGGGCCCTTAGCACATAACTAGCTGGGGTTGGGTTGGGTTGGGTTGGGTTTAGCTGCATACAGTGAAGACAGAAAACCACACATCTCCCTCCGTAGCAGCATCTGTGGCCTCTGTATACAAGTCATTTGTGAACTCTAACTGAAATTTTGAATGGTCGGAAATGATGTGGATTTGGCTGTGGTGGATTGGGCTTCAAATTCCTTCGGCCAGTGTTCAAAGACTGGCGGGAAGGGATCATCTGATGACCGAACAAAAACACTGGCAGATGGAAAGGGATCATTTACAAAAAGGCTCAGAGGACGAAGAAAATAAACGCCAAGTACTTAAAAAGGAAAACCAATACGCAAATAGGGGTAGTTCGGTCCAGACACTCAGTACATAGTCATTGGGTTGCACTCAGTGATGAGGTGGGAAGAAATCAGGTGTGGAAGCTTCCAGCTCCGGCTTTGCCACCAACCAATGAAGCTAGAAGACTTCGGACAAGTCGTTTGGTGACCCTGGGCCTCAGGTTTCCCATGTGTAAGGCAAAGACTGAACTAGTCCTTAAAGTGTGAGTGTTCTCTGATTTAGATTAGTGCTAAAATGATAAAAATTCTCACTTTGAAAATGTCACGCCGGGCACAGTGCCTCACACCTATAATTCCAGCATTTTGGGAGGCCGAGGCGGGCAGATCACTTGAGGTTAGAAGTTTGAGACCAGCCTGACCAACATGGTGAAATCCTGTCTCTACTAAAAATACAAAATTAGCTGGGTGTGGTGCTGTGTACCTGTAATCCCAGCTACTGAGGACTGAGGCAAGAGAATCGCTTGAACCCAGGAGGCAGAGTTTGCAGTGAGCCGAGATTGCGCCATTGCACTTCAGCCTGGGCGACAGAGCAAGACTCTATCTCAAAAAAA